TATTGTTACAGATGTGGTTCTACTGTATTTGATGACATTTATACATATATACTGTCTTGGCCTGTATACATTTAGTCTATCAGTAGTGTAACTCCTGCACTGACATTCACATCCTCTCATGGATGATGCACATGCCTTGAGGCCATGTGGCCTCTAAAGCTACTCTTTCTACATGTGCTTGATTTAGTGGTGTGGCCATACATACTCCAGATCAGTTGTAACATCTTTCAAACGTATTTGTGATGACTCAGTGCCCACTTGATACTGGCTCTGCTGCACCTCAGGCATCCTTGTTTTGTATTTTGGCTGTACCTTGTGTTTTTCATTTAATTTCTCTGTTGTTTATATAACATGCCCACACCTCTGCCAATGCCTGAAATATATCAGAAATACAGTACCTCTGTCTCCTTTTGTCAACCACTGAAGAGCTGTGGTGTTTATTTTACTGTTTTTCTCATTGAGCTAACCTGGTCTTGTTTTTCATACTTTACAAAGGGTTGGGAAAACATAACCGTACATGCAAACACCCCGGCATGACAAATATTTATTCACATGGGTAGGGACGTTTACATACATGAAGAACACATACTTTACTGAACATCAAAACAAACACTTGTGATATGAACTATTCTATGTAATTATCAGCAATTTTCACTCTCTACAGACGATATTACACTTTGTTTCAAAATTAACATGGATATTCCACACAATAATTTACAGAAGGGTGACGCATTAAAGGAGAAGTGTTCTAGGTGTTGGGGCACCATGTGCCACTTCAGTGTTCCTTGACTTTCCCTCTGCAAGTCTCTGGACTCTACTGGAAGGATGAGCACCATTCTTCTTAAAGGTATACCCTTGATGATGGTGGTGGAGACACTGTCTATACACAGTGGTCCAAAATCTCCCATAGGTGTTCGGCTGGGTTGAGATCTGGTGACTGTACAAGCCACAGCATAGGATTCACCTCATTTTCATTCTCATCAAACCATCCAGTGACCCCTCGTGCCCTGTGGATGGGGACACTGTCATCCTGGAAGAGACCAGTCATTTATGCAGGCTCTTTCTTCAGTTTGTCACCCATCTGTATGTGGATGCTCTTGAGCTTTCAATCATGTCACATGGTCTTCATCAGCAGGTGGTATTTGTCCACTTGTCATTGAATGGGAGATGTTTTTTTTCACAGAAACTCCAAACTATACACTTCCTGGCCATTTAAGTAATAACATGATTCATCTGTACAAAAGCTGATTTAATAGTAAATAATTGTAATGCATGATTTTGGACCTGTGAAATTCTAAAATGCAACATAAAGAACATGAATTCTGTGTTGATATGCACACCAGTATGCTGATACGGGATACATGCTTGGATTAGGTTTATTCTCTTAATTATATACTGACATGCATATGAACAGCCTGCCTGGGATGATATTTTGAAGAGGATAAGAGCTTTTATCTGGGATTACTTAAGATAAATGTAGAGCAAGCTGAGGAGAAGAGAAGATCAAAGAAGCAAATCCTCAGATCAGAGTACAGCAGGGTAAATGACTGATAAGGAGGGCAACTGATGTGTCATGGAGGTTGCAGATAAGCATAACACATCATGATTCTCAGCCATCTCTGTGTCATGCACACAGACTATTTCTCTCTCTTTATCTCTGTCCTCTTCAGTATAAACCTTTTGTTGATTTGCTTTTTTGCTGACCACCTTCTACTCTGTCATTCTCTCTCCCTCTCGCTACTCTGTAGATGGCTACCGTCCAGAACACCCATACTTCTAATTGGCCTGACTCTTAGTGTTTACTGAACGTATCTTTCTTTCTCACTCTGTAGAGCTCCACATCTCACGCTTCTTCACTCTCACATTGTTTGGTTTAGAGCTGAAGCAATGTGCTGAGTGGACATCCAGCATCTGCCCTTCTCAGCCAGCACACACAGACGTGCATAATGGTTTTTTTCTTTTAAACTATTAGTATTTTTCTTTCTACCAAATTTAATAATTGCAAAACTTTAACAGGTAGCCATATTTCAGACTTTATGTGTCTGAGGTGTGCCAACATTTACTGTTTCATCCCTGTTAATGTTTACAACCTCACAGCAGTCACTGTGAGCTGGTAAATCTCCTCATTTCAGAGTGATATTTGGCTGAGAGTATAAATCGAGGCAGCCAGACTTCTAAAGGAGATTCATAATATATTGCAAACCTGGCCTGGAATGACGAGGAGAGGAGAGGGAAAGGAAGAGCCCGTTGGAAGAGAAGAGCACTTACACTGAAGGATATCAGATGGCCAATATATGCTCATGTACACACACAAAAACACACACACACACACTACAGTAACAGACAGTAAGTGGCCTTTTCTTCTGCTAATGCATTGCTTCCTTTTCTCTGGTATCTAGTATCGATTTATTCTCCCTCTCTCCCTCCTATAAAGGAACTGGCTGCATACCTCCTCCTCCTCTTCCTCCTTGCCTTCTCCTCTTTTATTTCTCCCTACATTTCCTCTGTCATGTTTTCTCTCTCCCTCCAGTTCTTTCACTCACATTTTCACTCTCTTATTTACCTTCTCCCTCCTTTGTCCTCTCCCTATTTTTCATCTGTCTCTCCTCTAGTTTTCCTGTTGCATTTTTCTCAGCTCTTCTACATGTCTGACTGCTGCCCATAAACCCTGTATCTAAACCTCTTTGTTTGTAAGACTCTTTGAACTCTGTCCTCAGTCCTTCAGTCCTTATTCTTTTCTCATTCTGCTGTGTTACCCCATCTGCAATCGCTGCTGATGGACTGCTGTCCGAGTTATTTTGTCAAGGCCACAACACCAGCGTGTCCTGCAGTAGCTAAGGTCAGGCATAAATCTAGCCAGGAGACATGACTAGTCAGTCCTTCCTACTGGTCTTTGTCTCTATAAACGTGCTTCTTCCCCTTCACTGCAGCATCCTTTCCCATCAGTGCAGCCTACAAGCCCATTAAAATGAACCACAGATAGACACGATATTCATTGTGTCCACATTTTGCTTCTTGATTAATGATGCAGGCTGCGGGGCAGGCTTGTACTGGTGGTGAGTCAGCTTATCTGTTTTGGATAAAACCGACTGACAGAGGACACACACACAGCAGACTGGGAATGGTTGAGTTGATTTGGTTCTGAATTACTGTATTATCGTACTGTTTCCTTGTACTTTCCCTAAGTGCAATTAGTAAGGATGTACTGTATTTCATTGAAGAGGAAGCCTTTGCTAACTGCTATGATCATGTTTTGAATTTCTGAAAAAGTTTTATTAGATTTTTTGTCTCATTCTCACAGAGACAAATGGTGAATATCCAGAAACCTGACCCCCACCCCCATCCCCTGAAACTCTGTGTAGATATGTTTTTAACTAATTTTATGAGAGTCAGGGATGGTTTCATAAAATATTTGCCATATTAAAATCTAATCCCAGTCAACAAATGAAAGAGGGAAGTTAATTTTCTGCCTTTTTCACTAAGAGATGAATGCTTAACCTATTTAATGGCACTGTCATTAATGTCCACTTAACATAAATGAGCAGTGTTTGTCTGTATTCTTAAGTAAAATTAATGAAACTCATCACTTCTCTGATAAACTGTGTCATTCTGAGTTAGGAGTGAAAAAAGTCTCTTGCTAAATTACTGTTGCTTTGCTGTTAATGCATAGTGTTGGTTTTAAAATGCTGCAGTCCTTTAACATAATCACGCTGGCTCGATGAGCGTCAGCTGATGCATTTATATCAGTTTTCAAATCAAACAGTAATTTACAGTACTGCCACCCGCCTTTCTTGTTGGATGCTGGAAAACAGATTCAGTCTCACAGAAAGATGTTTTGTCCGGAACATTTAGAAATGAAAAAGCCACCTGGCCGTAAACACAATAACCTTGTACTGTATATCTGTGTGTGTGTGTGTGTGTGTGTGTTTCCAGGCGGAGCAGTCAGAGGATCCCATCCATGTTGTTTTAGGTGGGCCAGAGCCAGATGTTGACACTTTAGCTGCAACACTATGCTTGGCACTGCACCTGAGCCAGGTAACATTAGATCTTCTCATTTCTGTGGTTGTGTTTTCTACCTAAAACGTGTGAAAACTAGTTCAGAGTGTTGAAGTTGTATTATCTAATATTTAAAAGGTTGGGTCAGTTTTATTGATATAGCAGCACTTGGAAGTGGAGCCAGTAAATGTATATTGTTAAGCCGAACTGTGAAACTTGTAATGTGTCAAATCTACATGTATAGTATCAGACTATTTACTAATCATCATAGTATACACATAGTTAGTATCAAAAAAAGACTTGCTCACCAACTGATTAAGTACATGCATCATTGGACATGAGTCCATGAGTATCTTTATTTCCTTTGTCCATTGCATTGTGGGAGAATAGTGTCTGATGATGGCACACTCAAATATCAACCATATTTTATATGGATACTGTGTGCATTGAATCTACTTTTATGGAATTGGCAAACAAATCCATACGTGTACACTGTTGTTTGACTGGTGAATGTTGCATGTACAGTGTCGGGTCCCCGCACAGATCTCAT